TATCTCTGTCGGTCTCTATGTATCTATTTGGGTCTCAATGTATCTCTGTGGGTCTCTATGTATCTATATGGGTCTCTAAGTATATATATGGGTCTCTATGTGTCTCTGTGTGTCTCTATGTATCTCTGTGGGTCTCTATGTATCTATATGGGTCTCTATGTATCTCTGTGGGTCACTATGTATCTCTGTGGGTCTCTATGTGCCTCTGTGGGTCTCTATGTGTCTAAATGAATCTCTAAGTATATCTATGGGTCTCTATGTATCTCTGTGGGTCTCTATTGGTCTCTCTATGGAGTCACCACTTTGTCATTTACCGTGGTTCATTTTTTTAATCTTCATTTTTTTATCTTTGGAATTTGAACTTGACGCAGTTTGTTTTGTTTGAATGGCGTATTTTGAGAACGTGTTGACGGACGCGTGCTCAGAGTGATTTTTTTCTAAGTTTCCTGTTGTCTGCAGATACTTCCCTCTGACAGTGCGAGGATCAGCAACGTTCTACTAGAGGTACAGGAGCAAAACAAAAATGTGTGGCCACCAGGAATATTTCAGGGCTCATCAATTGCCCCCCGGCATCTCGAAACCGCCCTCGATCGCTTTTCAAGCGGGACGATTCACGTGGACATTACATCCCGCTCAGCACTGACACCCATTCACATCCACCTCACTGTGTGCGGCGACTTTTGACGTGGGATGGGCAGGGTTGTAGCCAATACCATTGCTCGCCATTAGCCACGAAGTGACTGTGACGTCACCACGGTGCCTGTGCCAGGCCAGGTGCACTTTGAGGGCCCGTGAAGTGTCGAAGACTCTCGCTGCTGGCAGGAGGTCACGGGAGATACTCAGTAGGTGCCATGGGTTGTACTGACTGAGATGACCGATAGATGCACCACCAGCTGTACCGCCCCCACTGTGCCAACTAGCAGCATTTTACCCGCCCGGCGCTCCGCGTGTTGTAGTGAGCATCGCTCCTGTGCCCTCCGTTATAGCGCACGCTCAAACATATGCACACACACAGACATATTTACAGCCTTCAAAAGCAATGATTCCCCCATTTGAGGCTGAGTCGACCTAGGGGTCGACTCAGTGTTGGCCGTGTGTGGGAATCGAACTTTGGTCGCCAGATTGGTAACACGCGGCACACAAAGACGAAGATCCCCCGTGTAGGCTCTAGCAGGATGTCAAGTGCTGTTTGTAGAGAACAGCTCCTATGGAGACTTCCGTCACTGTGGCACACACAGAGGGGGCGTGGGCGGCCAGCATCACACCTGTCCGCCTTTGTCTCCCCCCAGTGGCGATGCTTTACTAGACACCGCTGCACTGGGTAGCTCACTTGAGGCTGGGTCGACCTTGGGGAACCCCTCAGCCCCCCGGGTTGCAGATCCTCGTCCTGTAACTCGATGGCAGGGGCGATGGCAGAACGAATAACGTGAAGCTGAGCGTGCGCAGTGTGGCTGGGAGGTCTGCGGTTTGTCCCCCACCCAAAGCGGCTGCTGCTGGTGGACGAATTCACGGTGGGCGAGGACGCTGAGCATTGGGGGTGTCCCTGTGGTGGCTAGGAGATGTTGACTACCTCACCGGGTATGCAGGAGGTCGTGGGTTCAATCCCGACCCTGACATCATGATAGCTAAGAGATGTTAATTACCTCGCCAGGTATGGAGGAGGTCGTGGGTTTGATCCCAGCCCCTGACGCCTGCTGCTGTATATTTGAAATCTGCGTCTCTCTCCCCGTGGTCGCGAGGATTTTTTTCAGGTGTCCTCCGTTTTTCTCTCCCACATTTAGAATCAACATCACCACGCGTTCAGAGTCTTTGTTCGCTGATATGAATTCCTAAGTGATGATGACATCAGCCACTTTGTAGAGCTGCTATCATCATTTGTGATGGTGAGGGTCACGTCTTAAAAAGAGCTTCACAGCTCAGTGGGGCCTCGTTACACCTGGTAACATAAACAACTTTGGTTGTTACATTGTCCTCGTCTTGAATGTTTTTTTCCACGCAGGTTATCAAAGGCGAATGTAACGAAACAACGCACTACTTGTCAACACGTGGCTTCTGTTGTGAGCTCTGCCAAGCAGGTAATGTGCATGGACTGAAAGGCCTGACTCAAATACCACCATCGAAAGGTTTTAATGTAGATACGTTGAACTTCTTGTAGCCAAACGTGGCTAATCGGAGGTGCAGTTTTGAGTCTTTGAGCAGTGTTGAATCTATATGGGTAGTGTTAGTTTATGGGCATTGTTGAATCTATATGGGTAGTGTTAGTCTATGGGTAGTGTTGAATCTCTATGGGCAGTGATAGTCTATAGGCAGTTACACTCTTTGGTTCTATTCGGTAAAGTCACGTAGGTAAAAAATAAAACAACAAAAATCACGACGTTTCGGCCTCACTTCTCTCACCCAGCTTAAAAGACGCTACGAATCTTAGCAGCGTTCATTGAAGCTCTGTCGTCCCGACAGTTCTGTTCCTTCACCTGAAGAAGGCTACTTGTGTTGTGGCCGAGACGTCGTGATTTTTGTTGTTTTATTTTTTACCTACGTGACTTTACCGAATAGAACCAACGAGTATGGATCCTTGCAGTCACGAAAGTTTCAAATCTAGAATCTATGGGCAGTGTTGAATCTCTATGGGCAGTGTTAGTCTATGGGCAGTGTTGAATCTATATGGGCAGTGTTAGTCTATGGGCAGTGTTGAATCTATATGGGCAGTGTTAGTCTATGGGCAGTGTTGAATCTATATGGGCAGTGTTAGTCTATGGGCAGTGTTGAATCTCTATGGGTACTGTTAGTCTATGGGCAGTGTTGAATCTATATGGGTAGGGTTAATCTATGGGCAGTGTTGAATCTATATGGGTAGTGTTAGTCTATGGGCAGTGTTGAATCTATATGCGCAGTGTTAGTCTATGGGCAGTGTTGAATCTATATGGGCAGTGTTAGTCTATGGGCAGTGTTGAATCTCTATGGGTACTGTTAGTCTATGGGCAGTGTTGAATCTATATGGGTAGGGTTAATCTATGGGCAGTGTTGAATCTATATGGGTAGTGTTAGTCTATGGGCAGTGTTGAATCTATATGCGCAGTGTTAGTCTATGGGCAGTGTTGAATCTATATGGGTAGTGTAGTCTATGGGCAGTGTTGAATCTATATGGGTAGTGTAGTCTATGGGTAGTGTTGAATCTATATAGGTAGTGTAGTCTATGGGTAGTGTTGAATCTATATGGGTAGTGTTAATCTATGGGTAGTGTTGAATCTATACGGGTAGTATTAGTCTTTGGGCAGTGTTGAATCTATATGGGCAGTGTTAGTCTATGGGTAGTGTTGAATCTATATGGGTAGTGTAGTATTTGGGCAGTGTTGAATCTATATGGGCAGTGTTAGTCTATGGGCATTGTTGAATCTATATTGGTGGTGTTGGTCTATGGGCAGTGTATGTTGAACTTTTTTCGCACCGTACTTTACTTGAATTGAGCACGGGATTGGGAAATATAAAAAAAGTGTTGAAGGAAAAGACTCAAATGAGTGGATAAATACAATAGTTTGAGATGCGTAGTGGTGGTGGTTGGTAGCTGCTCATGAAGGATGCTGCTGCTGGGCAGTTGGAGGCAGTCACCCTGCAGCAACAACTACAATACACTATTATGCCCTACACTACTATACACTACACTACTATACACAGCACTACTATACACTACACCACTATACACTACAATACACTATATTACTATACACTATTCTACTATACACTACAATGCACTATACACTACACTACTATATACTACACTACTATACCACTATACATTATATTACTATACACTACACTATACACGACTACAGATTACAGTTTAGATCCTCTGAGCCCCCTTTGTGGAAGTTTCGCTAACCCTACTCCCTTCAGCCAATCCGCGTCCTCCTCCTCCAATCCCCTTTGAGTCTCTCCTCCAATCCCCTCTGAATCTCTCCTCCAATCCCCTTTTGAATCTCACCTCCTGACCAATCGTCTTTGAGGCCTCCCTGGACCAATCAGAGTCCTTGGTGGACTTACTGACTGTCCGTTCAGGTAAGGGGTTTGTTGCTTCGTAATTGCAACTCCATGTATCCATTCTTCTTGGCACAACAAACTCAACAATTTATGTAATTTGAGGTGCAGGACAACGAACTACACAACAACAATCAGCAGCTCTAAAGAAATGGGTTTTGAAATTAATATTGTGGTGTATAGTGTATAGTAGTGTAGTGTGTAGTAGTGTAGTCAATAGCGTGTGGTGTATAGTCTGGAGTGTACTATATATTGTGTAGTGCACTCTATAGTACAGTGTATAGTAGTGTATAATAGTGTAGTGTATAGTAGTGTAGTGCATAGTATAGTAGTGTATAGTACTCTATCGTGTGGTGTCTAGTAGTGGAGTGTATAGAAGTGTAGTGTGTATAGTGCATTATGCAGCAGTATGTATTTGTGCACGTTGAACTTCTTTCACATCGTGCGTAGCCAACCATAGCTATTCAGAATTGCGGGGAGAGGGGACGACAAACTGCAAACTAAATCTTGACTTAAAGCTGACGTGACTGCAGGAATTTATATTCTTTGGGTCTTTCAGTAAAGTCACGTAGATAGGTTGAAAGCTGACGATCGCTTGTGTTGTGTTCGAAACGTCGTAGTTTTTTGTGATTTTTTAAACCTATCTACATGACTTTACCGAAAGAACCAAAGAATATAAACTACAAACTAATACTGTAGTCTACACTGTAGTGTACAGTGTATAGTAGTGAACGGGCAGTTCTCGAGTTACGAATCTAATTCGTTCCTGAGACCCGTTCCTAAGTGGAACGGTTCACGAGTCTGGAACACAGCAAGGCGGTGAAGGGCAACAAACACCAAAACCTTTTGATTTGTTTTCTCGTTCAGTCGGTGCGTCTGTTTCCCTCCCCCCACCCACCCACCACCCCTGCTGCGGCCTTGCAGGTACGAGGAAGGTGATGGATTGTGAACCACTCAGCGGCACGTTTTGCACGGTTTGCCGCGCGGGAGAAGGCTACACGGACGAACCGAACAGCTCCAACGAGTGCAAGAAGTGCACCGTTTGCAACGTGACTTGTAAGAGGGGAGGGTGGTTGTTTTGTGGATTCGGGGAATCAAGGAGTTTGCGTGATTCATGCACCGCTCGCGATACGAATTCAAATCTCGCCACTGTGGGCACCACGGTGGCTAGGGAGATGTTAACTACTTTGCCTGGTACGCGGGAGGTCGTGGGTTCGATCCCAACCCTGCCGCCTTCGTTCCGTACGGCCGCGCACGCGAGCGGTTGCGCTGCGTGCGATCACACTCGCCAATGTACTACCTACGTATGGCGGCGGTGGTGGTGATGGGGGTGGTGTTGTTCTGCAGCCGAAGACACTGAGAGGCCATGCACCACCAGGCAGGACACTCGCTGTCGCTGTAAAGACGGCTTCCAGAGGGCTGCCCCATCGGACCCCTGCACGGACGCGAAGGGAGCCCCAGGTTCGGACGACCGCTCGCCACACCCACGCGGCTCTAACGCGCTCACAATCGACGCTGAGGGGTCGGTGTAGTTTATAGAGGTGTAGTGTATAGTAGTGTATAGTGTAGTGTATAGTGTAGTGTATAGTAGTGTAGTATATAGTGTAGTCTATAGTAGTGTAGTGTTTAGTAGTGTATAGAGGTTTACTGTATAGTAGTGTAGCATATAGGGAGTGGATAGTAGTGTAGTGTATAGTGTAGTGTATAGTAGTGTAGTGTATAGAGTGTAGTGTATAGTGTAGCATTGCTATGGTTTTTCGGTAGGTTCAAAACTAATAAAAAATAAACAAAAACCACGACGTTTCGATCGCAAAACAAGCGACCGTCATCAGGTGGAAAAAAGGAGGGGCAGCCACTAAAGGGAAGCTGTTTAAAATATTTAAAGTGGGCGGGGCACAAGCGTACTGGTATCAGCACAAAGTGGGCGGGGCACACGCGCCCTGGTATCAGGACAAAGTGGGCGGGGCACAAGCGCCCTGGTATCAGGACAAAGTGGGCGGGGCACAAGCGCCCTGGTATCAGCACAAAGTGGGCGGGGCACAAGCGCCCTGGTATCAGCACAAAGTGGGCGGGGCACAAGCGCCCTGGTATCAGCACAAAGTGGGCGGGGCACAAGTGCCCTGGTATCAGGACAAAGTGGGTGGGGCACAAGCGCCCTGGTATCAGGACAAAGTGGGCGGGGCACAAGCGTCCTGGGGTCAGCACAAAGTGGGCGGGGCACAAGCGCCCTGGTATCAGGACAAAGTGGGTGGGGCACAAGCGTCCTGGGGTCAGTACAAAGTGGGCTGGGCACAAGCGCCCTGGTATCAGGACAAGCGGAGATGTTGAAGTTAATGTGAAATCAAAGAAACAAGAAAAAGGGGAGACGCATGGAGAAAATAAACAACTTGTGGTACAATTTTGATTTAAAGCTTTTGTGACTGCAGGTATTCATATTCTTGGTTCTTTTGGCAAAGTCACCACGTAGAAGGGAAACAATAAAGATGGATTCTGGCTTATCAATCATTGGAAGGATTTGATAAACCATTTCGTGTCTTAATTGATTGTTCACGCTTACGGTGGCTTTCCGACCGCATCCATTATTTTTCGTCTCCCCCTCCTCTTTTCCGAACATAGATGGACTCATATTCTTAGTTTTTTCGGTAAAGTCACGTTGAAGAGAAACAACAAAATAACAAAATATATATAAAACAATAAAAAATTCTCACGACGTTTCGACCATAACTCAAACGGTCATCATCAGGTGTGTCGGTTTGCATAAATTTATTTTGAAAACGGCATATTTATTTATTTATATATATATAAAATAACGTTTGCGTCACGCGCAACGATTGGCTGTTTGCCAGGACTAGTCCATCTATTTTTTGAAAAGAGGAGGGGGGAGACGAAATTTGTTTTTATGTATGCTGTCTGAAAGGCACTGTAAGCGTGAACAATCAATCAAGAACTGAAATGATTTATCAAATCTTTCCAATGATTGCTAAGATAGAATCCATCTTCTCGGTTGAAATTGTCTCTGTGTTTGTATATGTGGATAGCCTCATGAACGAATCTCTCATGGAAGCCAGATGGCTTACAAAGAACCTCCGTCTTGGAAAAGTCAATGGCATGTGAGCCTACTGAATTAGAACAATGATCTGCTACGGCCGAGGTGTTGGTCCTACCGTGTTTAAGGTCTGCTTTATGTTCACGAATGCGGTCCGAGATATGGCGTTTGGTTTCTCCAATGTAACTACTACCACAGAGGCAACTTAGTTTGTAGACACCAGGGTATTGTATGTCCGGAATCACATCTTTTACAGACGGAACCAGATCACGGATTTTATGTAATGTGTTGAAACGGACCTGGATCTTGTGTTTATTCAAGATTTTGGAGATCTTTTTTGTGATCCCAGCAATGTAGGGAAAAGTGATGGTTTTGAAAGGCTCCTCAAGAGGGTTCTTCTTCATGGTTTGAGTGATAGCTTTGCGGATTGTATAGTCGGAGTAACCATTAGCCCTAAGAGCTTGGTGTACGTGCTTGAGTTCACTGCTTATGTGTTCCTGGTCGGATATGCATTGGGCTCTATGATACAGAGTCTTGATGAGAGAATTCTTCTGTGATGGATGGTGGTGGGAATCCGGTTTCAGATAAGCATCCGTATGGGTAGCTTTCCTGTAGACAGAGTGGCTCATTGAACCATCAGGTCTCTTTTTAATTAGGACATCCAAAAAAGGTATCTTGCCATCTATTTCGACTTCCATGGTAAATCTGATGGCTGGGTGTATGGAATTGATGTGGTCGAAGAATTGGTCTAGAGCAGGCCGGCCATGTGGCCAGATGACAAAAGTGTCATCCACGTACCTCTTCCATAAAGTTGGGCGCAGAGTGGCAGTCTGGATGGCGTCAGTCTCAAATTTCTCCATGAAAATGTTAGCTATAACTGGAGAAAGGGGGGAGCCCATTGGGGTGCCCTCAGTTTGTTTGTAGAAAGTTCCATTCCAAGTGAAGTATGTATTGGTTAAACAGTGTCTCACCAGGGGGGGTACCTCAGTGTTTAGTCCTTGATGAACCAAGTCTTCAATGATTGCAATGGTGTCAGGTACAGGAACCTTGGTGAATAAGGAAACTACATCAAAACTGACAAGCAGGTCGTCTGGGGACAGGGAAATACCCTTGATTGTTGATACCAGGTGAGTAGAATTTTGTACCGCAGAGGTGGTCTTTCCAGTGAAAGGACGCAGGATTTCAGACAAAAAACGAGCTAGTTTGTAGGTGGGGGAGCTGATAGTAGAGACTATGGGACGAAGAGGTGTATCAACTTTATGTATTTTTGGTAAGCCGTATAATCTTGGTGGCCTGGCAGCAGAAGGTTTCAACGAAAACTGTTTAGATTGATCAATTAATGCGGTTGAATCAGAAATTATTTTGTTGGTTTGTGTGACGAGGCTGTTGGTGGGATCTCTTTTTTTATTTTTGTATAACTACCATCGTCGAGTAATTCTTTAATTTTGTTGTTGTATTCTATTTTATCCATGATAACAGTAGCATTGCCTTTGTCAGCTGAGAGAACTACAATATCATTCCTCTTTTTTAATTTATATAATTCAAAACGCTCATCTTTGCTGAGGTTGCTAGCTGGCATCTTAGCGTTTTTGAGGGTTGCAGCGATTTCAGATCTTGCTACGTCTGCAGCGATGTGACCCAGGCCCCTGAGAGCAACGTCTACTTGGGCAATTATATCATTAACTGGTATGTGTTTAGGTGTGACTGCAAAGTTTAGACCTTTAGCTAAAACGGATTTCAGACCATCGAAAATAGAACTGTTACTGCGATTAATTACGACTTTATTAACGTCTAACTTTTTGGTGTGTGGGTCCGGTCTTTTGTTGAAGAGGAGGTTAAATTTGGAAATCAGGTTTTCCTTACATTTGGTCGACATAGTAGCAGCTGAAGAGGCAGTCATATTGTCTACATGTTCCCAATCCGATGTGGACATTATTGCCGTCAATGATAAGTGTGATTTGTAGAGTGTCTTGTCTAACTGATCTAGTTCTGTGCGTATAAGTCTGATTTTTTCTGAGATAAGAGCTAAGCTAGTTTTGAAAAGAATTCGTTTCGCATTAGAAGAAGTTACAGTAGCTGAGGTGAGTGTAAATGCGATTGGTATTACCCCAGAGTCGCGGCATCTCTTCAGGAAGGTGAGAGACTCGATCAGCTGAGCTTTCTTATCCCGGAGTTTGTTGAAGGATCTTAAAGTTATGTGAAAACCCTCCCCGTAGAGGCGATTAAATTTTGATTTAAAGCTTTCGTGACTGCAGTAATTCATATTCTTAGTTTTTTCGGTAAAGTCACGTTGAAGAGAAACAACAAAATAACAAAATATATATAAAACAATAAAAAATTCTCACGACGTTTCGACCATAACTCAAACGGTCATCATCAGGTGTGTCGGTTTGCATAAATTTATTTTGAAAACGGCATATTTATTTATATATATAAAATAACGTTTGCGTCACGCGCAACGATTGGCTGTTTGCCAGGACTAGTCCATCTATTTTTTGAAAAGAGGAGGGGGGAGACGAAATTTGTTTTTATGTATGCTGTCTGAAAGGCACTGTAAGCGTGAACAATCAATCAAGAACTGAAATGATTTATCAAATCTTTCCAATGATTGCTAAGATAGAATCCATCTTCTCGGTTGAAATTGTCTCTGTGTTTGTATATGTGGATAGCCTCATGAACGAATCTCTCATGGAAGCCAGATGGCTTACAAAGAACCTCCGTCTTGGAAAAGTCAATGGCATGTGAGCCTACTGAATTAGAACAATGATCTGCTACGGCCGAGGTGTTGGTCCTACCGTGTTTAAGGTCTGCTTTATGTTCACGAATGCGGTCCGAGATATGGCGTTTGGTTTCTCCAATGTAACTACTACCACAGAGGCAACTTAGTTTGTAGACACCAGGGTATTGTATGTCCGGAATCACATCTTTTACAGACGGAACCAGATCACGGATTTTATGTAATGTGTTGAAACGGACCTGGATCTTGTGTTTATTCAAGATTTTGGAGATCTTTTTTGTGATCCCAGCAATGTAGGATAAAGTGATGGTTTTGAAAGGCTCCTCAAGAGGGTTCTTCTTGATGGTTTGAGTGATAGCTTTGCGGATTGTATACAAACTAAGTTGCCTCTGTGGTAGTAGTTACATTGGAGAAACCAAACGCCATATCTCGGACCGCATTCGTGAACATAAAGCAGACCTTAAACACGGTAGGACCAACACCTCGGCCGTAGCAGATCATTGTTCTAATTCAGTAGGCTCACATGCCATTGACTTTTCCAAGACGGAGGTTCTTTGTAAGCCATCTGGCTTCCATGAGAGATTCGTTCATGAGGCTATCCACATATACAAACACAGAGACAATTTCAACCGAGAAGATGGATTCTATCTTAGCAATCATTGGAAAGATTTGATAAAT